TCATAGGAGGATGCAAAAATAGTACATAGAGATCCGATATGCCCATTACCCATCTTCTCCAGTCATGTCATCTTACGTAACTATAGTGTATTATTGAAACCAGAAATTGGTGCAATATAACTAATTAGGCTACAAATCTAACTCAGATTTTACCGGGTTTGCATTCATTCACTTGTTTGTATGTCTTTGTCATTCTGTGGCATTTTATCAGTGAAGAGTCATACAACCATCACCACGAGCAAGATAGGAAGCTTTTCTGTCACCATAAAGAACTTTCTCTGTTGTGCTCCCCATTTACGTTTTTGATACCTTGTGTTTCTGTTTCCATGTTCATACTTTTCTTTATCTTCTTGAATGTATGGAACATATTTACAATACCAGTATTAACCTCCTTGTCTACTAATTCTCTCATCCTGAATCATTGCTGGGTCTGTTTCCATTTGTTATATTTCCCCGTCTTATGGGTTGTATTTCCTGCTTCTTTGCATGGCCAGTGACTTTTGATGGGATACCAGACATTTTTAAGTTTTCTTTCTTCTTTTTTCTTTTCTTTCTTTGTTTTCTTTTTTCTTCTTCTTTTTTTTTTTTTTTGAGGAAGATTGGCCCTGAGCTAACATCTGCTTCCAGTCCTCTTCTTATTGCTGAGGAAGACTGGCCCTGAGCTAACATCCATGCCCATCTTCCTCTACTCTATGTGTGGGACGTCTACCACAGCATGGCATGCCAAGCGGGGCTGTGTCCACACCTGGGATCTGAACCTGCGAACCCTGGGCTGCTGAAGCGGAATGTGTGCACTTAACCACTGCGCCACCGGGTCTGCCCCAGGGATGCCAGACATTTAATTTTACATTACTTAATGCTGGAATTTGTTATATTATTTTAAATATTGCTGGGCTTTGTTTTGGGATACAGTTATGGTACTTAGAGTTAGTTTGATCCTTTTCAGGCTTGGTTTTAAGCTTTGTTAGTGCTACGCCAGAACATCCTTTAGTCTAAAGCTTATATGGTTTCATTGCTGAGGTATTCTTTACCTTCTGAACTCTATTCAATACCCTGTGTGGTAAGAGCTCCTTCTCTGGTTGATGGGAACATGAGCTCTGGGGATTATTCTGACTGCTTTACAGAGGATTCTTCTCCAGACTCAATAGTTTTTTCACATGCTTGCACAGATCATTACTCAGCTAAACCCTCGAGGGGAATCTCTCTCTAGATCTTTGGAGCTCTTTGTCCCTGCAGCTTCCTTCTTTCTGTTTGCCTTACGAATTCTAGCTGTGTTGTGTGTCCCCTAACTCTGAACTCCGTTTCCTTAACTCACTGGAACCATTGGGCTCTGATTGGGTTCTACGTCCCCTCTTCCTGTCTCAGCGTCATAACTTGGCGGGCAGTAGGGCTTACTTTATTTCTTCTTTTCCCGATGATCTCTGTCCTGAGATGATGTCCAGTGTCTGAAAATCAGTTTCATGTATTTTGTCTAGTTTCTTGATTACTTAAGGTAGGAGGGTAAATATAGTCTTTGTTTTTCCATCTTGGAAGGCATCCCTGGCTTACTAAAAATTTCACTGTAATTTTGTAAATATTTATCTTTTCCAACTTTTTGAATATTTGTAGAACTTTGTGGGAAAAATCAGTGTATAAACTTGCACAAATTTAGGCACTTTCTTACTCGTGCTTGCTCCTTTTCATATACTGTCTCACATATATACTCACATCCTTTTTCATCTATCGTGCATCTTTTTATTCTTGGTGTGACAAGTATCAACACAATCTATTACTGATAGTGGTGACAAATGTTAGCTTTTATGTTTGCCTGGAAGAAAATAGAGGCCTTTATTCGTTTTTCCTTTTGCTTACTGAAAGGAGATATGATCCTTAGTTAGGAGTTCAATATAAAATATTGATTCCTGTATTAGTTAGAGCATATGTGGCTATTGATTGGAAACTATAAGCTGTGAAATACTTCGTTATCCCAAGAGGGGAACAAAAGAGATGAACAGAAACAAGTTTCTATTTGTGCTAAAATCCGTAGTACTCTGAAGTTAGGATTTCTTTTATCTGGTAAATTTACAGATTAAATAGTAACTTTTATTTTTAATCAAGGTATTATTTAGCATATGAAGCTATAATTATCTTTTTTTATATAGTTAGATTATACTGTTGAAAATTGTCTTTCCTGATTTTAGATTTCTAACATATCTTTTTGTTTTAGTATTTTTTAAAAAATTTTTATTAAGATTATGATAGTTTGCAACCTTGTGAAATTTCAGTTGTACATTATTGTTTGTCAGTCATGTTGTAGGTGCACCACTTCAGCCTTTGTGCCCTCCCCCCAACCCTCCTTTCCTCTGGTAACCACCAATCAGTTCTCTTTGTCTATGTGTTTAACTTCCACCTATGAGTGGAGTCATACAGAGTTCATCTTTCTCTGTCTGGCTTATTTCACTTAACATAATACCCTCAAGGTCCATCCATGTTGTTGTGAATGGGACGATTTTGTCCTTTTTTATGGCTGAGTAGTATTCCATTGTATATATATACCATATCTTCTTTATCCCATCATCAGTTGATGGGCACTTAGGTTGCTTCCACGTCTTGGCTATTAATAATGCTGCAATGAACATAGGGTGCATGGAACTCTTGGAATTGCTGATTTCAAGTTCTTTGGATAGATACCCAGTAGTGGGATGGCTGGATCATGAGGTATTTCTATTTTTAATTTTTTGAGAAATCTCCATACTGTTTTCCGTAGTGGCTGCACCAGTTTGCATTCCCACCAACAGTGTATGAGGGTTCCTTTTTCTCCACAACCTCTCTAACATTTATCACTCTTTGTTTTGGATATTTTTGCCATTCTAACGGGTTTAAGGTGATATCTTAGTGTAGTTTTGATTTGCATTTCCCTGATGATTAGTGACGATGAGCATCTTTCCATGTGTCTATTGGCCATCCATATATCTCTGGAGAAATGTCTGTTCATGTCTACTGCCCATATTTTGATCGGGTTGTTTGATTTTTTGTCGTTGAGCTGTGTGAGTTCTTTATATATAATGGAGATTAACCCTTTGTCAGATAAGTAACTTGTAAATATTTTTTCCCAAATAGTGGGTTTTTTTGTTTCAATCCTGTTTTCCCTTGCCTCTAACATATTTTTTGATGAAACTAGTATGATTTAAAGATAATGCACGAACTTTAATTTAAACGTAACTTATCTAAGGAGGAAAACATTCCTATTGTATAAGAAAAAACTGAAATTGCACTATTATTCATTGAATTCAGAGTTTCCAGGAATACATTAAGAGTTAGGCAAGTACTGTTTTAAAGCCTATTAATATTATAAAACACTAACATTAAAATACGGTTAATTTTGTTTAGAGGATGTGTAATAAAATAGTTTTGCTCTCATTGTATGACAATTCTGAACATTTAAGTTGGAGCTAAATGTGTGTCGCTTAACTGTTCTTGGAGATCCAATTCATGTGATCATTTTTCCTTCTGAATAACCTAACTTGCTACATAGTAAGAATTAGATTAGCAGTAGCAAATGTACTTAGGGCCTAAGGAATGTTTCTCCTTGTTTTTTTGAGAGAGACATACTTATATCCAATGGTACATATAAATTTGGTAGTGAGCAATTACATTTTTGCCATACAGCCAGGTATCTTGAAGTATTTCAGCCATATATATATATACACAATATAAGATGGTCAAAATTAAGTAAAAGTATAGCACCGACTAACTTTGTGATTGAGCATAAAATAGGAGCCAGAATATAGGTTTTCATTAGGTGCTTTCTTAAACCTTGAATCTAGTATTAATTTTTAATGGTTATTTTCCTTGAAAATGTTTTCTTCCCTTCTGATTAGATTATTAGAGGTAATCCTTATGTGTGTGCTTGTTGGTTTTTCATAAAATCAATTCATACTACTTATAAATTTAGAGTAGTTTTTATTATGCTCTCCCAAGGTAAATTTCATATAATGTTAAATAATTGCTCTAAATTTAAATATATTTAGTGTTTAGCAACTATAATTAGTTCAGTAGGTATACTTACTCCTTCCCTAGGGTAAACGTTTTACTAAGACTTAGATGAGAGACATTTGTCTTCAAAACATACATTTTAAAATTTGTAGATACCGCTTTTGAATTTTTGGTCTCTCATTTTCAATTTACATTTTGAGTTAGCATCTGTAGCAACTATTATCTTTGCTTCAGTGATTTTTTTGTGAGGTGCACAATGCCTGGTAATTTTGGACTTATCTCTGTCCAAGTTAAGAAATGAGCCCCATTATTTTTCTGCCCAAATATAAAAAGCAAATTCTATTAGAAGATGCATGAAATTGGAGGACTGATGGAGAAAGGCATCCAGAAAGTTGACGTTTGTTGCTACTCTTCATTTGGAGTGAATTTTAGTAGAATATTACGTTAAATTTGCAGCTCTTAATCATCCTAAGAATGTATGATGTTTCCCATCTTATGGCCTAGGAATCAACCTCATAAACGGCGTAGTAGCAGCTGTGTAAGTCAGCATTTGGAGGAGAGGGATTGGAAATTAAATGAAACTGAATTATTAGACATTTCTGAGACTAACAGGAGAATATTTATTTAGAAGAAAAAACATGTCAATTGAAGGTTGAACTGTTTTGTCCACTCCATTTTTGTTCACTATAAGTTTCTTCCTTGTGTCTGAGGTCTGGCAGGCAGTTTTAATTGGAGAGAGTAGAAGTGGGTGGGAAGAGTTTCTCATATTTAGTCATTTCTATCTCAAATAAAGTATGTTTGCCACTCTAATCCTCCCTAGGTGGTTAAGAGAAAGAAAAATTAGGATGTTAAAAATGTACTTTTTGTTTTGTGTGTATCATTTTGGATATTTTTGCTACTGTTCATATATTTACATGTTAGTAATTTTGACGGCTTTTGGATAATTCCACTCTAGAGGGAGAACTGGTGGGCGGTCCTTCCTGTGACACGACCCTTGAGTGACAGTTCTGTTTGATTGCCTCCAGTACTGTGAGGACAGGACACGACTCTATGGTGAGGACTGATGGACATACATTATCTGAGAAAAGAAACTACCAGGTAAGACTCATTTTTTTCTTTTTCTCTATTGGTCATCTAACTGCATTGAACTGTTTGATGTGTCGTATTAAACTAGAGCCAGCAGGTTGGATACACCTCAGTTTGAAAAAATTGGGTTGTAATTTAAGGGTTTGTATTGGATTTGACAGTTGAAATAGTTGGGAACATTTTTCAAAGTAAAGCATGCTTATAATAAATGTATATTCTTTTAGTGTCAAAACATAAATTTTCTGGGGTATTTTTTGTCAAAACTTAGATTCTCTGATACACAGTTGATGACTTCTTGGTTTGATTCAGAGCTAGTACTCCATCAGACAAAGAGTTGATTGCTTGCATACATGTTACTCCTGGAAGACTAACCCTAAAGTCTTAGACTGTGTTCAGGGTGATAGAGCACCTTAGAAATGTAGACAAAATTGGTTAGATTATAGAATTAGAAATGAAAATCTCAGGATACTCAGAGACCCAACTTCTGTTGAATTTGTCACTAGTTTGCTGTCCTTAGAATGCTAGATTTTGTTTTCCTATTTATTAAGTTGGTGAATAATATCCATCCCCTATGTAGTGTGTAAGGATGCTGAAAGGATGGTTGAAGTGTAATATTCCTGTTTCTTTCTGAGCTTTTAAAAGAAGGTGAATTTTAAAGATAGTGCTGTTAAATAGTGGCTTAAAAAAAACCTAACGTTTGAATTTAATTTTTTCAAAGAAAATCTGCTTTATTCACGATGTTATAATTCATTGTCAAGTTATGTAGTGATTCAGAATGCAGAGTAGTTCAAAGCTCCAGTAGGAATAAGCTGTAGGCTTCCTGCTCAGATACATACCCAGCTTCCTTCTCCCCCTTCCACCCACTCGTTTCCTTCCCTCTAGGCTGTGAAGGCAGCTAGTGTGACAGCAGCAGCTTTGGTTAACTAACTGTTTATCTGCTAATCATTTGTTTTAGCCCAGTTAATCTTTTCTTTCCTTGAATTGGGAAAGTGAACAGTGGCGAAAATTGTAACTGGGTGTTCATGGTGTAAATAGCAAAGAGCCTTTGATTATAAGACTGAGGTTCTGATTTGGGCACTGTCCTTAATAAAGAATAATGTCATATTTAACCTTTCTAGAGTTTCACCTAACTTGATGTCTGCAATTTCTTGCCAGATCTTTATGATACGCAGAATCAGTTCTCCCTGTAACCTTTTCTGCTCTGAGTTGTTCTCATGGACTTGACCAATATGGCCTTTGCTAATTATTTATACTGGCTATAGCTCCTCCTGCCTCACAACCACTTCCAACTACCTTGACTCATTAGATTTTAATTAGTCACACTACTTGAGCTCTTGCATCGTTTGATAGGTTCTGCTAAATATATTTTAAGAATGTTGTGATTCTAGATTATGTGGTTTTTCAGTGCTGATAATCCAGTTTTAAAGTGTAAGTATAGAACTTTTGTCTGATGACGCAGTGTGGTTAATTTATTTCATGGAATCGTATTAGTATAGAATTCCAAAATTTACACTTAAGAAAGGAATGAAACAAGATTATGTTTTTCACATGAAGAGATTTCCTGATTCCTGTTTGTTCAACTCTAAAACTTCTCCGTTGTTCCAGTCACATTAGTTACAAATAATCTAGGTTTTTTGAGCTTACCTGAAAAATACATTCTTGTATAGGATTTTTCTGGCTGAAAATATTTTCCATTTTCTCTCTTTTGTTGTTACTTAGTGACACTTAATACAAATTGAAATATCCTTGGAAACAGTTGTTTAAATCTGTTGTAAAATTATTTTAATTTTGAAACCTCTTCTGGAAAGCACATAGAGAAATACAATTTCCTGTCTGATATTGTGATGAATACATTAAGAGCATATGGGAAATTCAAAGGAATATTAAATAAATCACTTACATTTGTGTTGGTAGTGCTAAGAGTTTGCATGTGCTGAAATGAAATGGTTTGGACTTTTAAAAATTCCATTTTGGAAGAATTTTATTTGGTTATCATGGATGTAAGGTAGGATTTCTTTGTGTTCATGTTTATACTCATTTTAATTTATCTTTGAGGGCTTTTGTTTTTGGAAGGCACTTGATGTCTTATAGTGATCTTTAAACATCCTGATAATAATAGGCTAATGTTCTAGAGTTTAATAAGAAGGATAGTATTTCTCCAATTCTCATTTCCTTGTAGACCTGATTGAAACCTTAGGAATTTAGTTTAGGATGGTATATTCCCTCAGCTTTGTGCTAAAAGCTAGTGACTTTCATGGGTGTTGGTTGAAATATTGATTTTTTTATATTGGTATATACTTTGTGTATTTCTTACTATAAGCCTGGTTAAGCTTCCGGAGTTTGAATAGAGTAGTTGAAGTTTATTTGTGTAGATATACTGGTGTATTAGTTCAGGTAAGATAATTTAGTCATTTAAATGGTTCATAGTTGTTTTTTGGGGAAAGGATTGTCAAGCTTTTTCCAAGGAAATGTAATTCCGATTTTTGGCTATAATTTTCATATATTCCTCTAATTTACACTGATTTTCTCCAGCTTATGAGCATGCGCAAATCTCATCATATTAGTTACCAGTTTTGCTCCTTGGTAGTGTTCCCTGTCTCACATACTAAGCCAAGCTTTACACGTGTCCAGCATCTTTCCACCTCCTGAGCCCACAGGCTCTCCCCTCTCCGTGTCTCTCCCCTGACTCCGTCTAGTGAGTCTTTCCGTTTAGTGACACACAACAGCTTTCCGTCTCCTTCCACTTTTACGCTTGGAAGCCTTTACTTCTTTTGGTTCCTCTTGATGTAATGCCTAGCCTTTCTTCACATGATTCAAGAATTAAGTGTCACTACTTGCAGAAGCCATTTTCTCATGGTTTAGTGCTCCTTTCCCTGCTTTTATAGCCCTTCTGCATACTTCTAGAATACTTTGTAGTTGTCTGTTTATTTGTCCTTGTCTTCCTGTAGACATGTGCTGTCCAATACTCTAGGTACCAGCCAGAAGTGACTATTTAAATTTAAATTCATCTAAATTAAATAAAATTAAAAATTTAGTTTCTTAGTCACAGTAGCTGCATTTCAAATGCTCAAAGCTACATGCTGTTCATGGCGCCCATATCAAATTGCGTGGATGTAGAACTTTTCCATCATCGCAAAAAATTGTATAGGATAGTACTACTGTGTGTTATGAACCGTATCTATTTATTTTGGTACTTTGAGTACCCAGCATGGTTCCCAGAAGATTATAGGTGTTCAATGCATGTTGTTTCAATAAAAATTTTAAATAAAACGAATAAATAGTAAGTTTAAAAATAAAAATTAATTTAAAAAGTTTCATTAAACAGAAATGAAAGTGAAAGGAAGAAATTGTAAAGTGTGCTGGGTAACATACTACCAATATTTCCAGGATTTTTGGATGTTACTCTGAATGGAACTTCTTAATATGAGGTCATTGATCACATCATATGCTGGCAAGTTCAATATGTTATCTATGAACTGGATCTGATGCATCCCAGTCCATATGTTCGTGCAGAATACCTCGTGATCTGAAATGCCCTGTTAACTTTGTGCGATATAGTGTGTCGGAGAACTGTGGCAGTGATTGTGTTGCCATTTCCTCCCCCTGTCGAATATTTTATTTTTTATATTAGTTTTTTAAATCACAGAAGTAATAGATGCTCATTGCAAAAACTTTGAAGAAAAATACGGAAATATACAATAGGATATAAAAATGTGAGATAGAAAAATAGAGTATAAGAAATATTAAAAAGTTGTGAAAGTTTACCTTCACAGTTTTACTCTTAACAGTTTAATGTGTATCTTTTTAGATCTTTTCTGTGATTATACAGGTGCAAAAGTGACTTGTCTGTTTTTAACAAGCATGTATTTTTCTGCAGCATGCGTGTTGTACTTAATGGAGTTATTTCCACGTAGCCTCCTTCCCCTGCCTCCTTCCCCAGATGTAATGGCTAGTTTGAATTGTGTTTCCTTCTTTTCATTTTTATATTTCACTATATTTCAGTTTATACAGGTGCATCTTTTTTTATGTATTGTGTAGCAATCTTTTGGAAGCTGGTACTGTATATTCCATTGTTTTGAATAGGAAAAGCAATAATTTCCAGGCCATCCAAAACTGTAAACAATTTCCTAGATATTGCTAAAACACTCAACACCTATGTGATAATTTGCGAAGGATTTCTTCATAATACAAAGCATTTAAAACACAAGTTAACTAATTAACACATACAAATGCATCAGCAGATGTTTCCATTCAGTATATAAGAGTATTGTACAGTATTGTGTACAAATTACGTTCTTTTCTTTTGTACTACAATAAAAATGTAATGTAAATAAGCAATGAGGTACCCATTTCTTTTATTCTAGGTTACATATTATTGAAGTTTTTTATCCCTTCTGCTGTCAGGATGCCTCTTACAACTGATGGTATCTTGGAGTCATAGTTGTAACATTATTGTGTAATGTTGTAAACTTGCAACCTTCTCTTCATACCTTCTAATATGATTAGAAACAGCAGCAGCATAGAAGGATCTTAGAATCTGTGATACTTCGAGTATGTTAAAGATACGTAATGAATATTAAGAACACTTAATAAAATAAAATGAACAAGAATTTAAAAAAATGTTTACTTAGCAAGTCAAGAGTTGTCAGTGGATCTAGTGCCTAGAGCAGAAAGATGGAGGCTTTAGTCATTGTTGCTGTGTGGTGTTGAGTTAAGGTGAACAAGAGTGAGCGAAGGAAGGAGTTAGTTCAGAAGTAAATGCCTGAAACCAACAACCTGTGTCACGCTAATTTACTCTTCCTTGCTCTTGAAACTCATGGAGGGCCGGCCCGGTGGCTCAGTAGTTAAGTGCACACGTTCTGCTTCAGCATCCCGGGGTTCACCACTTCAGATCCTGGGTGCGGACGTGGCACTGCTTGTCAAGCCATGCTGTGGCAGGCGTCCCACATATAAAGTAGAGGAAGATGGGCACGGATGTTAGCTCAGGGCTGATCTTCCTCAAAAAAAAAAAA